AATTATGGGGAGGAAGTGGGAGGGGAGCTGTTGCATTGTGGTAAATTGTGGTCAATGTCATGAGACAAAGTGTATGTGAACTGCTGTATGGAAAGTGAACTTGCTCTGTACATTTTCACCCAAACCACAATAAAAAGAATAAAAATAAAGAATTACGTGAGAATATCATGGTTGAAAATTAGGTGAATACTTTCCCTGCTTTTATTTTTAACAAGATTGTTCCACAGAGTCACCTCTGAATGGTGCATTGCGGGGAGACACGCGGGAAACTTGAAGCATCAGAAACTCTGTTCTTAAGTAAAAACTGCATTTTTCGAATCATGTATAGGTCTACTGCGTTGCCAAGCAATAGCTTCGTTCCTCGCGGTGGCCGCGTCCAAGTCGCCTGCGCAGTGACGCAACAGGCGCGTGGTGACGCAGCGCGCAGCGCGGTGCACGCTGGGATATTTAAGTCCTCTCCGCGGCGCGGAGCCGCGATGTCTCCGGCGGCTGGGGCTGCTGGAGCAGGCGACCGGCGGCGGCCGATAGCGAGTGTCAGGGACGGCCGGGGCGGGGGCTGCAGCGGCCCTGCCGGGGCGGTGCTCCTTGGACTGTCGCTGTTCGGCCTTGTGCTGTACCTGGTGCCGGCGGCGGCTGCCCTGGCCTGGCTGGCTGTCGGGGCTACCGCGGCCTGGTGGGGACTGAGCCGCGAGCCCCGAGGTTCGCGCGCCTTTTCCTCGCTCGTTCGCAACACACGGCGTCAGCGACCACTGTTTACTTCGCCACCGGTCAAGTCGGCAGTAAACGGAAGTCTCTTAGAGCCGCGTACCCTCCTTGAAGGACCCGACCCCGCCGAACTACTCCTCATGGGTAGTTACCTGGGCAAGCCTGGCCCTCCGCAGCCTCCCCCTGCTCAGGAGGGCAGGGACCTGCGAGAGAGGCTTGGCCGCCGCCCAGCCCCTCGGCCCTCGCCGCCCGCCCCCTCGGCCCATCGCATTCCCCGCGTTCAGCCCTCTTCCCCCACTCCTCTTCTCCGACCCTCCCGGAGGCTTCCCCACAGGTAAGATCCATGTTCTCCGCCAGATCCCTCTCTGTGTACACTGGCTTTGAAGTGAGGACTTGATTTACATTGTTTCTTTCATTAAGTGCAAAGTGGATTCTGCGATTTTCATTCTTTTGAATCACTTTCGGTGCATGTCAGCAGCCTCTGCCCTTGTTTAACTTTTGGAATTGGGATTTTTGATGACAAAACTGTACCCTTCTCTCCGAGTCTCAGAACCGCCCGAATTCTAGTGTAGTGCAGATTTAGCAAGGAACCCAGGTGGTGCGGTGGTTAACCGCTAACCAGAAGGTTGGCGGTTCGAACTCACCAGTTGCTCTGCGGAAGAAAGATCAGGCATTCTGCTCCGCAAAGATTACTGCCTTGGAAACCCAGTGGAGCAGTGGTAGTGTGTCTTACATGGTCACTGTGAGCCGGAACCAACCTCATGGCAGCGAGTTTGGGTGGGTTTGGGTTTATGGATTTAGCAGAATATTTGATAAATTGATAACATGTTTCTTTTTTAGGTGGAAATGTCCTTTTTTTCATGTTTAGTCGTAAAGATCGTCAATTTTACTACATTTTTGTCTACAGGCCATTTAGTAGAACTCAAGAGTTGTCCCAAAGAATAAACTTCATGATTGTTGTTATTAGGTGCCATCCAGTCGGACCGACTCATAGCGACCCCTCCTTGGGTTTCTGAGGCGGTATCACTACGGATGTAGATTGCCCCATCTTCCTTCCGAGGAGTGGCTGGTGGGTTTGAACCGCCAGCCTTCTGGTTAGCAGTCAAGTGTCTTAGGCACTACACCACCAGAGCTCTTATGATTGTTAAAGATGACCAAATGAAAGAGACATATTTATTTAGTCCCAATAGCTGTATGATACAGGAGAATACAAAAATTTGGTGAAAATGTTAGATTCTTGATAAATACGTATACTTGAGAAGATGAACATTTAATGTGGAACCAGGTTAAAAATGTTTGTCTTTGGGTGTCTTCTTACTGAGATTTTACCATAAAAGATTGAAAGGATTCAAGAATTCTTGAAAAGTTTCTCCCCATACTCCCCAACACACACTTTTATTCCATTGTGGGGCAAGGTTTCCAGTTTCCTTCACAAATTGTTGAAGTTCATTGTTCAGACAGCTGTTAAGCAGCTGCCACTTTCTGCCCTTAGATTGAACAGGAGAAAGTTGCCATAAAATACCGCGTTCTGTGTTAAGGGGAGGTTTCAGCTTTGTGAAAAATGTCTGACTCCAAGTGATGGATTAGCCATTTTAACTTGCTGACACTCTTTCATGCTTCTTTGCTTCTGTGATGGGTCCCATTCTTTGCAGGGATTGTGGGACTTTGCCGAATCGGTTTGTAATAACACCTCGGAGACGATATCCAATCCATCAGGCCCAGTATTCCTTGCTGGGGGTGCTTCCCACAGTGTGCTGGAATGGCTGTCACAAGAAGACTGTGCTGTCTGCTCGCAATTCCAAGATGGTGTGCAGCCCGGTGACAGTGAGGATTGCTCCTCCTGACAGGAAATTGATCCATTCGCCAGTGTGAGTATTTTTGTTGAAAGACTAGATTCCCTTCTGTGTCCACTGTATGCTTCTGTGGTTATTCCTCTAACAACCATGGAGCAAAAAGAGGAGGTAACTGTTTATTTGAATGAGAAAATCCCAAATTCTAGTCATTGAGCCACCCTTTATTTTTTGCCCTTGACAGTAGTAAATGGCTAAGAGCAATTTCTGTGAATGTGAAAATTACATTTTTGCTTGCTAGGTTAGGTTCTGATTTCCAGTGTCTTATGTCTATGCCAAGTGCGTGGTAATTAACGTATCTTAATGCTAGAGTCTTGTCTTTGATTGCAGACCGGAGCAGTTGATCGGTTCAGCACTGTCATCACCATCAGGGAGTGTTCCAGACCCCTGTGCAAAGGAGACTGTGCTGAATGCCCTCAAGGAGAGGAAGAAAAGGATGGTGGAAGAGGAAGACCAAATATTCTCCGACAGCCAGGAGAATAAAAGACGGTAACAGGCCCAGCAGAGTACCACAGAGCCTCCCTGTGTGCTCTCAGAGATTGGTTGGAATAGAGATAGTTACCCAGAAATACACAGTTTCAGTTTGTGTCCCTGTCAGGGCCCCTCTTTGGCTTTTAGGAAAGAGCCTGATAACAAAGGCATGAATGCTGTTTGTTTCCTAAGGTACAGGGTGGATAAACGTTACACATTTCTGTGGGGGCTCTAGTGGTGTGGCGTCTAAGGCATTTGACTGCTAACTAGAAGGCTGGTGGTTCAAACCCACCAGCCACTCCTCTGAAGGAAGATTGGGCAATCTACTTCCATGGAGACACCGCCTCAGAAACCCAAGGAGGGAGTCACTATGAGTCAAATCGACTTCACATCAGTGAGTTTGGTTTTGTTTTGTTTTATAAGTACTAGAGATAAGCCAAGAAGTACTAGCTATATTAGCCTCTTACTTTTGATATCAGCATGTTATATTTAATTTCTGAGAATGCTGAAACCCCCCCACCACACACACACATTCTTATGTTGTTCGTTTATTTGGGTAGCTACCAGGTTAAAATTTAAAAAGGAAGTATTTGCCAAATAAAGGTAAAGACTGGAGTATGGTAGATTTATCAATAATGAGAGTGAAACCAGTTTCATTATTTGATTTACATGAAAATGGAAATGCAGTAAACAATCCGTTTTCTAAGTTTAGCAGATGAGGTTGTAGTAGCTGGTCAGGATTCAGAGCTACTTACCACTTTCCAAGAAATCAATTAAAGATTCCACTCTTTTTAGTTCAGCAAATATTTAATGGGCACGCATTGTCCAGGGCCTGTTCTAGGTACTGTGCATAGGGCAGTGAGTAAAACCAAGTCCCTACCATGGGACTTGTTTGAGGAAGACAGGCAACAAGTGAGAAAAACAGTAAAATAAATAAGATGATAGACTGTAAACGTGCAGGGGAGGGGTACAAAACAGTGTTTATAACAGAGGACAGTAAGCAGGGTACTTCTTTCTATAAGATAGTCAAGGAAGTACTCTCAGAGGAGACATTGGACCTCATGCCTGAAAAATGCAACCATTGCCCCAATTACCTAGACCAGATTGCTTATATCTGACAGGCTTGATGCTATAGATAACAAAATTAAGTAGAGGAAATCTTAATAAATGGAAGCATATTTATATAATGCAGATGCATTAAGAACATGGGGGCAGCATCCTCTGACCTCCAACTTCACTAGGGGGAGAGAGAAAGATCAACAGCCCAGAGCTGATTCCTCTCAGGCCAGACATGCTGCCACCCTCCAGCCTTTTACCAATTTCTGACACCAACTCTCCCTCCCGTGACACTCATTACTTCTCTGCTAGGTTTGATAATTCGTTACAGTGGCCACACAGAACTCACAGACAGTACTCACAATTATGGGGTTTATCAGGGAAGTAATAGGTTACAGTTCAGGTTCAGGGATGCTCAGGATACAGTTCCTCAATCGGGACAGCCTCCCCTCAGCCATGCCTGCAGGCACACTTCTCTTTGGCCCTTGGCCCATCGGCCTGGCCTCCACCCTGCTTGCACAGTGTTCAGGTGCACCTAGGTGCACTCCATTCTGTTAGCATGCCTCCTGGCCAAAGGCGCTCCTTTTTCTCAATCTGGGCTAGCAAGCCTGCCTCTCTGTCTCGTGTCAGTCTCTCAGTTCTGCTGCCGCCATTTCTTCTCATCACCTCTCCCTATCACCTCTGTCATTTCAGTGTAGGGATTTTGGGTTCAGGGACTTGCTCCACTCCTGCTTCTCTTTCATAATGGTAGTGAGATCTCCCTTTCTGTCTCTAGGAGGGCTCATTTTAAGCCTGATGGGATAACAGAAGTGACCAATCCCAACATTAGGGTTCCATACACCTTATTTCCATGGTCCCACCCCCACAAGGGTGCCATGTACCTTATTTACATTATTAGTAAGCTATCCAATCCCCTTGGTGGGCCACAAGCACCTTCCATTTGCATGTTGTTGTTGTTATATACCGTCGAGTCGTACCCGACTTATAGTGACCTCTTCCTTGGGTTGCCGAGGCAGTATCACTATGGAAGTAGATTGCCCCATCTTCCTTGGAAGGAAGATGGGGCAATCTGCTCCACATTTGCATGTTGTTGTTGTTGTTGTTGTTATGTGCCGTCGAGTCAGCCCTGACTCATAGCGACCCCTCCTTGGGTTTCCGAGGCAGTATCACTACGGGAGTAGGATTGCCCAACCTTTCTTCCGAGGAGTGGCTAGTGGGTTTGAACCGCCAGCCTTCTGGTTAGCAGTCAAGTGCCTTAGCCACTATGCTACCAGAGCTCTCTCACATTTGCATAGTTACCCAGTAATCTGGTGAGAGTCACAAAGACCATGGCCAGAAGAGCCAAGCCATGGAATTCACTGAGCACAATAGAAAAATCAGGTAATGGTGACCAGAAATAGGCCTTAGTGCTTGCAGCAGGAGAGCAGTTTGAGCCGGTGTGAGCTAGCTAAGCTGGAGGAACAAGCGGGGGGAGCAGTAGAGGTGACAGCTCTGAGGGTCCAGATAGGTTTCTCTTCTTCAGGGAGAGTTTTTCTTGGCTCTGGGGAGCCTGTAATGGGATTCTGCACTGTCTTTCCCATAACTGGAATGAGCAGTGAGCGCGAGCACCTGGCCGCGGATCTTCTTACACATCGTCTGTAAGGTTTTTCCATGAAAGACTTGGAGTGTTAGCCTCTGGTACACTGTACTGTAGGTTGTGTGGCTTGGCCCCTAAGGTTGGTTGGTTTCTTTAAAAATAAATGAGTGGTGGGATGTTAACTTTGTGATTATAACGCTTCAGCGTGACATTAGCAAATAAAGAATTGATACACCTGAATACTTCAAAAAGTCTTGAAGTATTTTATATTTTCCTATTACATGGACAATATTAAATTAATTAAATTTACCTTTTGGAATCTTAAGAATTTGTAGCCACTTTTTTTCTTGTCTAACACAGGACACATCCTTTCCAGAGAGATGCTAAGGTCCCAGGAATAGGGGAATACACTTTAAGAATAAAAAGCTCTTTGGTTTGATTGAATTTTTTCCTCTCAGGCGCCATGATAGCAGTGGAAGTGGACATTCAGCATTTGAGCCACTGGTGGCCAATGGAGGCCCTGCGTCTTTTGTGCCGAAGTAAGTGAGAGTCCATCCGGAGGGATGGGTGTGGTCTGTTGGAAAAAGGTTACCAGAGGGCTGCCTTGTAGATTCTCCTGTGGGCTTCTGCATTACTTTATTAGTTCAGATTCAGATCTGTGAAATCAGGGAGGAGTGTGTTGAGTAACTTCCCACAATTACCTATCTTCTAATCCAGTTTAATATTTTTACATTCATATGGATGAAATCTGCTAAGTTGATGACCAAGTTTATAAACAAAGGTCACAAGTTTTGTGCATTGGATAAAAAGCAGCAATATGAAATTTAAGATAAATGGAAGTTTCTGGAAACTTGATACAAGCTATGAAATTTTATTTGCATTTTCTGTTTAAAAATACATTTGAGGAGGAATTGAATGGGAGGGAAAGTTGCTCGGAAATGATGTGTGAAAAAACTTCAGATAAACTTACATACTTAACTTGAGTCAGCGTTATATGGCTACCACAAAGGCAATGTGCTCCTCCTGAGTGCTGACTCCACGAGGAACAGAGACCAGATTGGGGCAGGTAAGTGGTAGTCCTGCTCTACTTAGTTCTGCTCGGACTGTCCGTGGAGTGTTGTGTTCAGTTCAGTGTACTGACTGTAAGAGAGGATATGCACAAACTGAAATTAATTCCAAGCGAAAGAACTAAGATGTTAAAGGGATTTGAAACAGCCAGATGGATGGTGGGCGTAGCTGAGGGGGTGTTGAAGGAACAGAAGTACTATCCGAAAGGAGAAAAGCCTCGGGAAATGCGGAAGTAGGGTGGTAGATAGTGGTCCCCTAAAACTGAAGGACTGTCACCTGAAAGAGGGAAAACAACTAGTTTGGTTTGGCTCCAGATAGTCTCCATGGGGGCAAGTTAGAGGAAGTACATTTTAATCCAGTATAAGAATAAACTGGTCCATGTTGAAATGGGTCACTCTGGGAAATGGTGAGTTGTCTACATATAACAAGTAGGATGACAATTCCTCAAGGAAGATGTATAGAGCGTTTCTGTTGCAATTGAAGCTTAGAAAAAAATGATGGATTGATTTAACTCTGGCATTCTGTTTTTTTTAAAAACCGTTTTATTGCAGTATAGTTGACGTACAGTAAACTGTATATATTTAAAGTGTATACTTTGATAGGTTTTGACATGGACACACCTGTGAAACCAGCACGACGGTTGCCGTAACAAACACCTCTATCACTGCAGAGCTTCCTTGAACAGTCCCATCCTGTTCTCTCCACTTCTGTCCCCAGACATCCAGTGATCCATTTTCTGTCACTATAGTGTGCATTTTCTAAAACTGGAATTACGCATTTAATCTTTAAATATTTAGCTTTCCCTTACTGACTTTGTCAGATACGCATAGTTAGCTCAGTTGTTAACAATAAAGTTAAGAGCTTATTAATTTGTATTTGGTAAGGTGCCATCACCAGGCTGGATGAATGTTGCCTTCAGTAGCACATCTGACTGTCTTTTTCCCTTTTATTAGACCTGGGTCTCTGAAGAGAGGTTTCCATTCCCAGAGCTCTGATGACCACTTGAATAAGAGATCCCGCACTTCTTCCATGAGCTCCTTGACAAGCACATATGTGGGTGGCATCCCTAGTTCCAGCCGCAATGCCATTACCAGTTCCTATAGCTCTACTCGTGGTTTCTCTCAGGTACGGTGCTTGTTGTGATGTTGCAGAAATGAGTTCCTAGAGTTGAATTGGATAGACCAGAATTAATTGGTTAGCAAATGTTTACTGACTAACTGCTTTCTGTCTGCCAGTGTTGAGACAGCCTCTAAGGTGACAGGAGGTACAAACCCTTGAATGCTAAGTGTAGACCAATGGAATAGATAGAAAGCCCAGAGGCAAATTAATGTATACATAATGTATACCTGGTACAAGACAGAGAGTTGTTAGCCCAGATAAATGGGCAAAAGGGAAACAATTCAATAGATGGTGGTAATTTCACTACAGTGTAGAGGAATAAGAACCCTATTTCTTCTAGTGATTTCCAGTTCTTTTCTGGTGACCGTTCATATCTTTTGCCAATTATTAGAGGAACGTTCCAAACAAGTTAAAGATGTTACAAAAGGGGCGTGGGAGTGGCATCCCCTGATCAAGGGGGAGAGAGAAGGATCAACACCAGCAGCCCAACACTGTGAGACAGGCTGCCACCCTCCAACCTTTTTACCAGCTCTGACACCAGCCATCCCTCCCACAGCACTCACTGCTTCTCTGCTGGGTTCCGTAATTCATCACGGTGGGCTCACACAGCTCACAGATAGTACTCCCATTGTGGGGTTTATTAGGGAAGGAACAGTTTACGGTTCGGATTCAGGAATGCTCAGGATTCGGTTCTTCAGTCAGGACAGCCTCCGCTTGGCCGTGCCTAAAGGCATACTTCTCTTTGGCCCTTGGCCTCTGGGTCTGGCTCTGTTCCAGAACGCATTAGTTCTGCCGATTGGTGCACCTCATTCAACCAGGAAGCCTCTTGTCTAAAGGCACTCAGCTTTTTGTTCCATGGGCCAGCAAGCCCACCACTCTGTCTCCTGCCAGTTTCTGGGTTCTGCTGCCACCATCTTTCTCCCGGATCTGTCTGCCAAGGAGGTACAGTGCTCCACTGCACCTCTGGCTCATCTCTTGATCACAGTGAGATCCCCTTTTCTGCCTCCAGGAGGGCTCTTTTTAAGCCTACTGGAAGGACGGTACTAACCAATCCCCACATTAGGGTTCCATACACCTTATTTCCATGGTCCCATCCACACGAGGGTGCCACATACCTTATTTAAATTACTACCAAACTATCTGGTCCTCTTGGTGGACCACAAGCACCTCACATTTACATAGTTCCACCCAGTCATTTGGTGGGTGCCACAAAGACCGTGGCTGGAAAAGCTATACCAAGTAATTCACTGCACCACGGATGTGGATGGAAACCAGAGAGGAAGCAGGTTTCTCTTGCACGGCTGGGGGGCTGTCAGCTGGTACTGTTTGCTGGAGGGCAGCTGGCAGTTATCACTGTTAGAGATGCACATGCCTTTTGAGCCAGCACAGTTACTTTAGGGATTTATCCTACATACAGACAAAGACACATGCAAGGGTGTTGACTGTAGCATTATTTTCATACAGCACAATCTTGGAAACAATGTACAAGTACTTTTCAGGGGACTGGATGAATAAATTACTGTGTATCTGTCAGTTAAAATACTATGTAACTTACTGCAAACAATAAAGCACTTTAATAGGTCCATGTGGAAATGATGGAAATTAAATGATGTCAGAAATATATGGAAAAGCAAGGTATGTAGTTGTGTTGTATATCCTCTCATTTGGTGTTGCTGGTTTCTTTAATCTTTGAATGCACACAGGATAATTCTGGCAAGGCATGTTAGAAACTGGTAACAGTGATTGAGATGGGAGAGAAACTTACTTTTCACTGTATACTCTTTATTTGTTGGAATTTGTAGCAAGTGCTAGTATTCCCTTCCCTGTTTTCAAGAATTTTTTTTCTTTAAGATAACTATTAAGTATCAAGCAGAATTCCCCTGCCCTGGCTCTCCCAGTCTGTATCCCAGAGGATATGGTGTTACCTGTTAGTAGCACTTTTTCCTGTGTGTGCCCATATGGATAGCACACAGAAATTTGCATTGTCTGTTTTACGCAAATGGGATTATACCGTATGTACCTTCCTGCAGCTGCTTTTCTCTTTTAGCGCAGTATCTTCCATAGCAATCCATGCCATGTCATCCACCTTTTATATAGATACATATATATATATATATATATATATATATCTCTTATTTTTAAATTAGAGGGTAATGTACAGAAAAACACAAATCGTAAGTGTACAACATATGTAACCCCCCCTACCCAGGTCAAGTAGTAATACATTTTTCCATACCCATAAGCCATCCTTGTACCCACTCCTGACTGTTCCTTCATGACTTCTTCCTGAGTAGGTAGTTCCCTGTTTTCCATATGGATGGAAACATAGCGTGTGCATCCTTGTACATCTGGCTTCTTCCCCTCAACACTGAATTTGTGAGATTTAGCCCCATTGTTGACTGTAGCAGCAGGACATTCATTTTCATTGCTGTCCACCCTGTGGTGCTACGAATAGACCGCAGCCAACTTACCATCCTACCATTGGATATTTGAGTTTCTGGTTGAATACTGCAGACTTCACATTGCTTGGTTTTACAATCAATGCCAATGCAAGTAGCAGTCAGGACATCAGAAGACATACAGCCCTGGGCAAATCGACTGCGAAGGACCTCTTTCAAGTGCTGAAGAGCCAAGATGTTTCCTTGCAGACTAAGGTGCGCCTAACACAAGCCATGATGTTTTCAGTCACCTCGTGTGCATGTGAGAGCTGGGCAATGGGTAAGGAAGACTGAAGAAGAGTTGACGCTTGTGAGTTGTGGTGCTGGTGAAGAATGGTGAGAGTACTGTGGACTGCTAAAAGAACTGACAAATATGTCCTGGAGGAAGTGCAGCCGAAGGCTCCTTGGAAGTGAGAATGGCCAGACTTCGTCTCACCTGCTTTGATCATGTCAGAAGGGACCGTTTCCTGGAGAAGGATGTCATGCTGGGTAAGGTGGAAGGTCGACAAAAGAGGGGAAGGCCTTCAATGAGATGGATTGACACAGTGGCTGCAGCGATGGGCTCAAGTCTAGCAAAGATGGTGGAGCTGGCACGGGACTGGGCGGTGTTTGGTTCTGCTGTGCATGGGGTCGCTGTGAGTCAGAGATGACGTGACGGCACCTAACGACAATGATGACAGCACGGCTTCAGAAACCCAGTGGGGGCTGGGATGAGTAGGAATCGACTCGATGGCAGTGGGTTGGGTTTGGGTTTAGTTTTTATGGACGGTCTCATAGGAATCTGCAGGCACACCCGTTTATGGTATGCATGTGTTCAGCCTGGTGGCTGTCACTAAATAGTTCTGTGAAGAGGGATCCGGCTTGTGTCCTCAGCTGCAGGGGATGAGATTGTGTGGCTGTTGTGTATCTCCACTGAGGCAGGTGTTGTCTTCTCTCTGACGAGCCACCCTGTTCATGTGGAGTGACGTTTCTTTGTGGTTCTCATTTGCATTTCCCTGGTTACTCATGAGGCACTGCTCTGCACTGTTGTTTGGCCCATTGTAGATCCTCTTGTATTGAAGGCCTGTTGAAGTTTCTTGGCTCTTTTCTGGTGGGCTGCTTGTCCTTTTCTTACCAATTTGTGCGAGTTTCTTACATATGTAGATACAAGCTGTCTGTCAGTTTCACGTGCTGCAACAAATCAGTGTTCTGCTCCTAGCTTGCTATTTTACCATCTGGAAGTCTTTTCATTTGTGGTTAGTGTATCGTATGTATTCTAGGAACTCTTTGCCTACCCAATGTCATGACCATATTCTCTTAGGATATCTTCTCAAAGCTTGTTTGGCTTAAGCTTCTTGCTGTTTTCTGCGTGAAAATAAATAAATGAATGTTTTTGTACATTTTGTGCATGAAAAAAATGTAATGATGAGTTGAGCCTCCAAATGGTGTGTCTTCTTTCAGGAAACCTGACTTTTGTTTCTGGCGGGCAGGTAGGATGGGGCAGATTACCTGTGTCCAGTCCACATGATGATTCAGAATTGTCCTCCGTTCTTGGGAGGACTGATTGTTTTCTCATTTACCATATATACTAGCACGTAGCTTTAGGGATCCCAACCAAAAGCCTGAGGTACTTATTAGGGCCCCTCAAACTTGGCAGGCCCTGAATTCTAGTTTGTGACCTTCTAGCCCAAGGAGACCTGCCAGAGCTTTTCTCCGCCTTTAACCAGCTTTTAGTTTTGGAATCATCAGTCACTTTGTGGGGAGAAGTGGGCTTAGATGGGCTCGCCTCCTGGCTCCTGTTCTCTTGTCTGTCTTCTCCACAGTGTCTCACTGCCTTGTTACCTTTTCCGTACTTTCAAACAAGTGGATTTCATATTACCTTCAGGGTTTTCTGTTGTCCTCAGCAGGAGCATTGATCCAGTCGGCCATTCTTAGAAACGTGGCCGGATTTTGTTTTAAGCACCCTTGTTCCTTCTGGTGCCTGTGACCTACTGAAGGAAATGCATCCAGTGACACTAATAGCTGCTGGCTGTTCAGCTGTACGTGGTTCCTAGTCCTCTACTGATGTACAATGTCTGAATGGAACAGAAGTCGATTTGCTGGAATACAGCATTGTGAATTTTGATCATAATTTTAAATGGCTCAGGCATCAGCTATTTTAAAAATGTGAGGAAAGTAAGGAACTCTTAGGAAGGGGGGATTAAAGTAATATGAAAGTTCTTTATGTTGAAGTTTATCTTTGACTAATTTTTAACGAAGCAGTGAATGAGCCCATGATCGATATAGACAGACAGCCCTTGTGTTTGCTGGTAATGCTGTAGATATTTGACTTAATTGTGTTTTTCCAGGGAAGACTAGTAAAGCCCAAATCTCCAGTTGCCCCAATTAGAAGTCCTAGCTTTTTATTCTAAAATGTTGACAAATGTTAGACTGATGCTAATTATAGAAATAAGCTTTCCTCAGACCTAGATGTGCCTGGTGTTTATACCTCCGTGTGTCTTACAAGACTTGTCATTTTCCAAAGTCACAACAGTAAACCTTCAGAACTTCAGGCTCTTTGCTTACGATTCTGCCCTTGTCCTTTATTGGTCCTTTATGTGTGCACTAGACTTAAGCCAAACCAATTTCTTACCTTCAGAGAACATCTGATGCTTTCCTGCTGTTTCCCTTTTCTTGTTGTGGTCTCCCTCTGGAATGACAAGCCCACCCCACTGCAGGCCTACCAAGTTTCTCTTTCTTCAGGTGTTTTCTATGTGGAATCTTGTAGGACCATCTGAAGGATCGCGTCCATCCTTTGTTCATTCTCCCAGCCCCTAAGAATGTATCATCTCTCTTCTTGGCTCATTTTCAGGGACTTCTTTTGATCTCTTGACTATTCCAGTCGATTTGAATACTTGTCCTAGCTCCTTTCCAGATGGTAAAATCTCTTGATGGTCGATCTCTGACACCTGAGAGAGTACCTTTATGAAGTAGACTTGGCAAATGTAACTTGAGTTAAAATACAGAACTAAATTGGCTGCTAAATACTTAGGTTGCTTGAACTTCTTTTTATTATGACTTACCTGACTTGATGACATGTAACAATTATATGAGTCCATTGTTCATTTAATATTTTATACACACATATATATGTATGTATGTATGTATGTGCAAGATTTCAAGCTTTATATGTTATGGATATTAACACTTGTCTAATTGAAAGTATTTTCCTTTCAATCTTGTTTATTGGTGTTTTGGTTTCCTGCTCACATAAATTTTATTTTTACTTTATTAAATAAAGCATCCGTCGGGTTGGAAATTGAAATGATATGAAAGGGTGTGCGGTAGAGACCCCTCCCTCACATTCTTATGTGTAACAAGCACCAGTGCCGTTGGTTGCCGCTGACCCCCGTGTGTCGCAGCAGCACTGTGCTCCGAGGGTTTGCAGGTACCAGTTGTCCAGAGGTGCGTTGCCAGGTCTTTTCTTCCGAGACACCCCTGGGTGGACTTGAACCACTAACGCTTTGGTTAGCAGCTGAGCCTGTTAATTGTTTGACTTTATTTTTATAGAGAATTTCTGTGGCAGAAAGAAGAAAAAAGGACACAGACCATTAGGTAAAAATTAAGAGCCACTCTCTATAGAGAGGTTCTTAATTTTTACCTAATGGTCTGTGTCCTTTTTTTCTTCTTTTCTGCCACAGAAATTCTTTTATTTACCCCCAAGTTCAAGTACCAACTCATCTATTTTTCACAGTTCACTTTTGTGTGTTTCATTTCCTACATGTAAATGCAGTTTAAATGTGTGTATGTGCACGCGTGCACGCGTGCACACGCAGTGCATGAAGTAGAGATACGACGTTTCTCTCCTCGTTGCCCCAGGTTGTCCTCAGCCTGCTAAAACAAAGAATCACCTTTGGCACTTTACAGAAGAAAAACGCAAGGGCATGGGACCCAAGGGATTGTGGTTTTAGAAGTTCCACAAGAGTTTGAGAACCAGTGAGTTGGGATTAGGGATTTGAAATGATTGAAAGTACAATTTACAATGTTTGTTAAAGCCTTGGATCACATTGGTGCATTTTTTCTGTTTTCCTATCCCTATAACATTGTAGTTTTCAAACCAGTGTTTGTTCTGGTCTCTCTAAATAGCTGTTCTTCCCTGTTCCTAGCCTTAGCGCAACATAACACACTATTGTTGGTGTGAGCATTTTCCCCAAGCCCATTCTGGGCTGTGGGTTTCTTACAGAGCTGCCCTCCTGTTCTACCACTGGTCTTTGATGTTAGGCCCCCCATCCCTCTTTTGAACACTTTGTGAGCATTAATAAGACAGTCTGTGGTTCCTGTTGGTGCTGACATGATGCAACTGACTATTACAGGATGAGAAATCTCCACTTTTTTTTTCCCCAGAAACTTTCAATATGAAAACAACTAAGGGTTTAGTATGTTTGTAATTAGGCTAAAGACTTAGGAAAATATTTGTAGAAGGCCTGCCCAATGTCAGTTACTTTGCTGCTGGGCCCTTTGGAAGGATGCAGAGAGAAAACAGACCATCTCTGCCATCAAGGGACTCTACTTGGTAGAAGAGACAGGTGAGTGAATGATTATCCTGTGATAATAAGTCAGAGATGTTGCACATGTCATAAATACCACCACAGCATGTAATTCTGTAAAACGAAATTAGTAAAGTAAACCTGAAAGTGTAATGATTAATATGAAATGGCTTATCTTTGCTGACACGGTTTCTTTTATTATTTCCACAGACAGTATAGAGCGGACTTGTGTGCCTCATGTCATTGTACCGTTACTGATTGTAACTTTCAGCTTTCTGATACATGCAAGCATATCATTCTTCTACATTTATTAGTTAGCATTCCATTACTTTTGTAGACTTTTTTTTTTTCCTTTTCTCATAATTAATACCAGCAATTGACTTTCTTTTCAGAGATCTTTCTTCACAAAGAAGTATTTTTAATCACTTAAAAAGAGACTTACATGAAGTGATGAATAGAGACCCACAAAATTAATGTTGGAGGTCAGATGCTAAACTATCACTTAGCCTCAGCCGTGTTACTTTCGTTTGACTTGCAGCCGCGGAGGAGAGGTGGTCCCGGCTCATCACCCTTTTCTAGTGCAGCCTCATCCCGCTCCCAGACACCAGAGAGGCCGGCAAAAAAAATAAGGTAATGTACATTCCCCCAGCTGTTACTTTCTGAATGGACTAAAGGGAGGTAGGGAAAGGAGGGAAGTTTACTTGGCTCTGAGGTTTTCTGCTCCTCTGACTTGGAGAATCAAAGAAATTAAGATCTAGCAGAAGGACAGTGACATACCCATCTGAGTTGCTCTCATCTCTTGCCGTCTTACATACCGACTGTAGAGGCTCTGGCCTCGCGCTGCAGGCTAAAAGTAGAATGAACAGAGCAGATCATGTCAGCAGGCAATAGCTTTCACCTTCTGACTCCAGCTGACCATCCAGACATGTGGAGCCTGGTGGAAGTCCACTGTATTAGGGGTCTCATCTCTATCTGAACTCCCAGGAACTCGGCAGGTTATAGATAAAGTTTTGAAGATCACTGTCATGTGGTGGTTTTAATTCACAAAGGTTTTTCCTTAGCTTTTATGAACCACCTCTGTTCACGTCTGTGTAGGAATCTTCTTTTGACTTCTTTTAAGTCACATTTGTTTATTGTTTACCCTGACATAGTGAGCTCTGAAATCATGGTGATTCTAGGCTTTGGGAACTTGGTCATCAGGAGAGTCCAGGAAGTTATGCCCTACTTTGTCAGGAAGTCTTTCTAAGCTTAATTCTGCCTTTCCTCTTTGCAGAGAAGAGGAGCTTTCTCATCGCTCTAGTTCTGCAACTCCACTGGTGACAGACAAGGAGTCCCAGGGAGCAAAGGGTAAGTTGACAGGAGAGCAAGAGTGGCGGTGGCGGTGGTGGAGGTGTTGTATTGAGCTGCATAGATTAGTACCTGTTCTAGAAGTATTTGTAGAGCGTTTGTTTGATCTAGGGCATGATAGATACAGAGAGACAGATGGTTCTGTCCTTAGGGAAGCAAGGGAGAAAGGCAGCCCCAACAAATAGGGCCTAACATGGTAACCATGGGATGGAGAGCTCAGCTGGACGTGTAGGTGTGAGCCAGGTCCTTACTGGCCAGTAGACAATTGATGTGTTCACTGGAAGCAGTTGATTGCGTTTTGTCCTCATGGTGTTAGAAATAATCACCACCCAAGAGTCCACACCATTGAGATAGAAACTGCATCTTTCCAGAGACACCCAGTAAAGATGCAGTGTAAAAACCAGGTGAATAGACAAAACTGTCCATTTTAGAAGTGGAAAGGAAGAAAACAAGTCACTTTCTTTTTTCAGTTGCAGATACAACCATGGGAAAGAAGCAGAACTTATGGAATTCCCCATCTACACCTGGCAGCTCGGGGCAGCGCAAACGGAAGATTCAGTTGCTGCCCTCCCGGCGAGGGGACCAGCTGACCCTGGTATGGCCTCACCCCTCTGTCCCCTGCCCCAGCTTAGCTCACCACTGACCTGCTAGGAACCTGAGGCGCACTGCTCTCAGCGAGGCTGAACACAGGCTGCTCCCGGGTTCTCTCCCTGGACCTGACTCTGCTGTCTCTCTTTGGTAGCCGCCGCCTCCCCAGCTTGGCTATTCGATCACTGCCGAAGACCTGGACTTGGAAAAAAAGATGTCGTTCCAGTGGTTCAACAAGGCCCTGGAGGATAAGACGGGTAAGGAGGAGAGATGACTTACACGCTCCAAAGAGACTTCCCTTGGGATTGGTTTATTTGGAAAGCCTCTCTGGAGAACCCCAGGAGGAGTTCCATGTTTTCTTTGGGTCTTCCTCATCTGAGTAACCCATCTGGGTTTTCTCTGATGCCTGGAGAACCATGGACATTGGGATTGACTGGAAGCATGTCTGGATGAGCCACACTGACTCTTGAGCAGCCCTGTGCCCTGATAAGCCATCTGAAAATCCCAGACAGGGGTGGACGGCTGAGTCTTTCTGTTCTGCTCTAGATGCTGCCTCAGACTCTGTCGCTGAGAGCCCGCCTGCCACTCGGCCCCCTGTCACTTTCACCCTGCCTGCTGCCGGAGCCGCTGCGTCAGCACCCTCCCTTCCGGCCCCCAGCTCTAACCCGCTGCTGGAGAGCTTGAAGAAGGTGCAGGACTCCCCGGGCCCAGCAGCTCGCCCAGGTGAGTGGAGAAGGTTCCCTCGAAGCATGTGCTGATGTCAGCCTCTGTCTAGGTCGCAGCAAAAGCGTCCTGCCTGTGACTTGCTGGAAACTGTCCAGAGTTTGAACCCACCCTGCACACCAGACCTGAGCTGGGCAAGCGTAACAGCTTCAGAATTCTCTAATGAGGGCATTTTAGGGAAGGTGACCTGTAATACTTAAAGCTGGTAAGGAAGCTTCATTTCTGTGTCAAATGGCTCTTGATTTGAAACCTAGGCCTGTGGCTGCTGTGAGCCTGAGCCTGCTGCCCGCACCTGTAAAGTGAGAATAGTAATGTTGCCGTGAGGCCGCTCTGACATGTAGACGTGATGGCGTGATTAAGATGGCCTGATACATGCTCATTAGCCCACAGGCACAGAACTAACCCATTTGCCTGTGGGTTTCCAAGGGCCTGGTGACTGTTCAGCTCTGTGCCTTTGTGGCACTACGCACACACTTCTGTTACTGTGCTTATCATGTAGTCGTGTGTGGTGTGTGGTCAGCCTCTCCTGGGACAGAGACGATCTTGGTCATGGTTGTCTGCTGCACTTAGCTGGTGGTAGGTGAAGGTAGGAAATCTTTGTTAGGTGAAGAAGGTGTACCCAGATAAGTAATTTGGACATCAGCCTTCAGGTGATCAAATTTTCGTCAGTTTCCATACATTTAACCCTTGATTCAAAACTAGACTTACTGCCATTGAGTTGATTCCAGCTCACAGTGACCCCCCATTGGGTTTCCAAGGTGATAATCTTCATGGAAGTAGGTTGCCCCATCTTTGTTTTGCCTGGTGGGTTTGAACTGCAAGCCTTTTGGTTAGCAATCAAATACTTAAGCACTGAACCACCAGCACTCCTTAACCCCTGATTAGGCCAACTCTTTAAAATCATTTTTGTCTTTCTTGTGTTTTGTGAAGAGTAGAAATAACAAATACTAGCTTGGTTTGCTTTAAAGGCCTGAGACTGGCCGTGGGGTCCTAGCACTGTGCTAGGCGTGGGGAGGATACAGACATACCGAGTACCGTCATGTTTCAAGTTCTCAGAATTCACGTTCTCAGGAAATCCCTCTCTTTTGCAGAACCTGCTGGAGGGGCACCCACTGTGGCCCATTTACCTCCGAAGACACCCAGCCTTGGGGCTTCACAGTCAGGGACCTCTTCAGATTCAAAACCCACAGCCACTTTCCCGGGGCTGATCCCTGATTCCACGGTACCAGTCACTGGCACCATCAAGACCCCTGCAGCCCTCCAGGCTGAGACATCTGCCAGATCCCCCGCCCCAGCTGCCCCGTCCCCCATCCCCAAGCCGAGTATTCTGTTTGGAATGCTGAGCACCCCAGCTTCTCACCCGCCTGCGGCTCCTGAGGTGTCTTCTGCATCTCCTGTCTTCAAGCCCATTTTTGGGGCCCCACCTAAAGGTGAGCAGGAAGGCCCCCTGCCTGCTCAGCCTTCAGTCACCACCGCAGCGTCTTCCAGCTCCGCCCTTCCTGTGATGGCTGGTACCTCGGCCCCCACTTTCAAGCCCATCTTCGGCAGCACGGAGCCACCGACATCTGTGCCCTTGTCAACTCCTTTCTCTTTCAAGCAGACGCCTACTCCGGCTACTACCACAACTGCTCCTCTCTTCACTCCCCTGCCCAGTGCCACCTCTACAGGGGCTTCTGTTACCACAGCCAGTACATCCACAGACTCTGTTTCAAAGCCTCCTTTTGGCTTTGGTGTAAACAATGTAACGAGCACCATGAGCAGTGTGACTAGCACCACTTCTACTTCCCAGCCTTTCCTCTTTGGGGCACCCCCTGCCTCTGGTGCCAGCTTTACCCCAACCATGGGTTCCATATTCCGGTTTGGCAAGTCTCCTGCCATGCCTCCTTCGACAGCAGTCACCACCTTTGGCCAGCCCCTTCCCAGTGCTGTCCAGACCGCCCCCAGCAGCAGCACCGCAGGCTTCACTGGTTTTGGCAGCACCCTCACTACTTCAGCCCCGGGTACCAGCAGCCAGCCTACTCTGACATTCAGCAGCACCACCACCCCAGCGTTCAACATTCCCTTTGGTTCAAGCACCAAGCCCCCTCCCCCATCATATCCAGGAGCCAACCCCCAGCCCACGTTTGGGGCTACTGACGGGCAGCAGCAAGGGGCCACCAAGCCAGCCCTTGCCCCAAGCTTTGGCAGCTCTTTCAATTTTGGAAACTCTGTGGCCCCAGCTGCAACTCCAGCGCCAACCCATGCTCAGCCAGCCTTTGGCAGCACTACACAAGTGGCCTTTGGTGGTTTGAAAACGCCAGCCTCCACCTTTGGTGCCCCTGCCAGCACCCAGCCGGCCTTTGGCAGCACCACGCCTGTCTTCTCCTTTGGTACAGCCACCACTGCTGGCTTCGGAGCCACAACCCAGACCACCAGCAGTGGGACCAGTAGCTCAGTGTTTGGCAGCACGCCATCGCCCTTCACATTTGGGGCTTCAGCAGCACCCGCTGGCAGTGGGGGCTTTGGGATCAGTGCGGCTGCCCCAGGCACCAGTTCCAGCTCCACACCATTCAACTTCGGAGCAGGACAGAGTGGGACCACCGGCACCACGGCCCCCTTTGGGGGAGGCCTGAGTCAGAACACCTTGGGCGCGCTCAGCCAGAGCTCATCCTTCGCCTTCAGCGTGGCCAGCACGCCCGACAGCAAACCTGTGTTTGGAGGTGAGCTTACGGGTGGGTCTGCTCCACTGCGTCAGGCACTGTCTTCAGTGCTAGCAGGGCCTCTTCTCTCGGGAGACTTACGTTTCGAGGAGGCAGGCATTAAATGTATAAACAAAATGGCAGGTAGTAAAACATACTTGGGTAAAAGAGGTAGTTTAATGCTTATGGAGGAGTTCATCAGGGTTTAGGTGGTCAAGGTTTAGGTGGCCTTTCTGAGGCAGTAACCAGTTGAAGCTGAGACCATTTGTGACAAAGGGTTTGGAATATTGGAAGGGAGTTGTACGTGAGAGAGAGTTGTAGCCACAGGAGATGGCTAGTGCAAAGTTTCCGAGGCAGAGACACGCTTGGAATATCGTGAACCGAGGTAATTCCTGCACTAGAGTTGATGGAGGAATGATAGAGGATGAGAGGCCAGCAGAGGTGCAGATGACTTGTGGGCAGAGTTAAGTTTGTGGGTTTTAAAGAGAGTCCCTTTAGAATTCCAAGCAGAATGATGGGCCCTTGCTCAGCCTGACCCTGACAGCTCCGTGTGCTTTATTGGTGTGAGGACAGACCTGGGGGGGGTGTGCTGGAATGGGTAGAACTTCGGAAGGTCTCTTGAAGCAGTCATTTTGTAGAGAAGGAAAAGGAGCCTGTCGAGACAGTGTAGATTTGCCAGGCAGTTCTGAGGCCTAGAAGATTGATGATGGATTTAAAGTAGGTCGGCTTTTCCCCAGCTGTGTTTAGTTGTTGAGATGTGGACCTAGTAAGTGGATAGGCGGTCAACCCCAATCCATTTAAACTTGAGTATAGCAGGAGGGGACAGTGGGCTGGAGGCCTTGATGAGGTTGAAGAAAGGTAGGAATGGGAACAAGTTGAGGGGGAAAATAAATTAGCTGGAAGGAAGGGAGCATTCTACTTGAAATTGGGATTTGGGAGATAGTGCAGTTCTGATGGTGACAAGACTTTTGACCTGGGAGTGGGTGGCAGAGATGGCATAGAGGAAAAACTGTTTGCTGCGGTGAGGTTAAGGGACCGAGAAGTGGATCAGCCTCAGGTGTTGGAGTCACCAAGAATGGCAGTGGGGTAGGGGTGTCCTCAGGAGTGACACAGCGATTGCTAGATGACATTACTAAGGAAATGGAGTGGAACAGAATAAAGATGAGCTACAGAGGACTTGAAGAATTTGGAGGGGGAGGGAAGAAAACAGGTTTTGAACCAGCCTTGGGAACAACCTGCAACCCCCTCACCCACCCTCAAGGCCCAGAGGCACAGGCACATGGAAGGCATTCCCCTGCCCTTGAGAGTGGGCTGGAGGAAAAGCAGTGTCCACACAGCCAGGATCCAGTTACAGGTGGGGAGGGAGCTTGCACTGGCCAAGTTCCGGAGGAACCATGGGAAGATGAGGGGACCAGCAGTGGTGGGATGGTGAGATTGGTGGAAGCCTCAGGCTTTGGGATGAAGTGGAACAAATGAGCAGGGAGAAGGCCTGACGAGATCGGTCCTGATGTAAGAAGCTAGGCAGCCTGGTCAGGCAGGTCAGAGGGATCCCCTCCGCAGTGACCAGTGGTATGGCAGCCACAGGAATGCACCTCAGGTGGCCAGAGGGGACGCTGTGGGCCTTTTCTCTGCTGCAGCTCAGCAGTTAGCAGTGTCACTTGGAGCACCAGGTTTAATTTTCTCCTGCAGCTTCTCATGGTGGAGCAAACGGGAACAGGCTAGCAGGACTCGGGTGTCCTTCTGACCAGGGAAGTGCCTCTGGGGAGAGAGCGGACCTCCCACCTGTGACTCACTGCTGTCTGCTGCAGTGCCTCTGCTTACTGGCCTGGTCTCTATAGTCCTCTGCTGTCTGTCCTTCTAGGTTCTTCTACGCCCACCTTTGGTCAGAACGCGCCTGCCCCTGGAGTGGGCACGTCAGGCAGCAGCCTCCCGTTTGGGGCATCCTCAGCACCGGCCCAGGGCTTTGTGGGAGTCGGCCCTTTTGGTAAGCAGCAGGTCTCCTTGTTGTTGGCGATCTGCTTGTCTCCCCTGAGGGACTGGGAGCAGGTTCCTGTGCAGAGCCGAATAGGTTTGGGGTTGGACAGCTGAAGTCAGAGAGGAGCCATCTTGGGTAGAAGTTTCCAGACTACTAGGGAAGTCAGGTCAAAGTGGATTCCTGGCCTCCTGACTCCCAGACCGGCTGGTGTGGGATTCTGGGATTTTTAAATAGCTCCTCCCCAGGCCCCCAAAGAAATGATTCTGATCCTGCTTGGGAATCCCTCTTCAAGTACCTCGTGCTCTATTACTTGCCTGACTGCAAAGATGGGGGCGCCCAGAGAAGTGTGCTCAAGTCACAGCTGCCCTGACGAGATCTTGTTGGATCTTTCCAGGCTCGGCAGCGCCTTCCTTCTCCATCGGTGCGGGATCCAAGACCCCAGGGGCTCGGCAGCGCCTGCAGGCCCGAAGGCAGCACACCCGCAAGAAATAGCCTTTGACCCTTGTCCCCACTCCCCAAGCCCTGTCCGAATCTGGACCTCAGCACCTGCTGGGAAGAGCCTCTGCCCCTTGTAATTCCAAAAAGTAAACCTACCCCCGATCTCCGACTTCAGCCAAGGAGGTGGTGGCAACTCTGGAGGCCCCTTCCCTCTTTGAGAAGCAGAGGTCTACGGCCTCTCGAGGGAACGGGAGGCAGGGTGTGCCAGGGCAGATGCCAACCTCTACTTGAACAGTCCCCCTGGCAAGGCTGGAGAACTAAAGAAACCTCTGTACATACTGTCTGTTGCTTCCCCAACTCGTTAAGTGTATAAGCTGCCAGGCGGCCTCCCTGCCTGCCTTTTGCCTGAGAGCCATCTGTTGGAGGGGAGAAGCTATAGCCCTCGCCCACTTGCATCTCGAGACATGCATCTGAGGGGATTGGAGGAAGGGGATGATCCCTGAAGCGGCACCTTCCTGGGCTTGGCTGTAAGTGGCTCTCTTCCTCCGGTTCCTCTGGCTGGTGGACTGCTTCCCCGTTTCTTGCTGCTTTGTCCCTCACTGGTTCCTGGCAGGATCTATCCCTAGCTTTGCCTTGGAGACCTCCGTGGGTGCTGCTCCCACTCTTCCACGTCCTCCTGCCAAGTCCAAGTCAGTGTCTCGTACCGAACCCTCTGCCAGTTTGACCCCTAAAAGCTTAATGGCTCGAGACTGTTAGCCTGGCAGACCCAGAGGCGAGACCGTCCCTCCAGGAGAGGGAAGCTCTTGGATCAGCTCTGCAGCCGTGGAGCAGGCTGGGTGCCCACTGCTGCCTCCAGCTGCTGCCTCCCCTCTCACCCGTCTGCCTCACTGGGCCCTTGTCTGCCCTGGGATTGTATGTTTCAAGCCTTGTCCTGTGTTAGTCTGTCTGATGCTCATGTCTGTTGCTCTTTGAATCGAGTTTGGAGGAAGAACTGAATTGTGTGAGTGGCGGCATGTTGGTAGTGCCGGACTTAACTGTTTCCAGTTTCCTGGGGCCGAGCTAATCGAATGTGGAAAGTAGCACCACTTCTGGCTACAAGTGCTGACTCCTGAATTTTTAAATGGTGTTTTAACTTTAAGGGCTGGCAGCCCAGAAGGATGGGGCCCAGGGAAGACCTCTTCCCTCTGCTATTTCTCCCCCACTTTTCCTGACCTCATTATAGACTACATCACCCCAAGTATGTTAGGAAGCCTAAATTAAAGAACCACACCGCCAGACTATACCTTGTTTTTCCCAAATAGGCCCCTCTCCAATCCTGTTTCTTCCCCTTTTGTTCCTTTGCTCCAGAAACCACACACCCAGGCCCAAGAGCCTTGCTGCCATGCCTGCCCTCGTTGGGAGAAGTATGAATGCGTGTGTCTAAATTAAAAGAAAAAAATATTTAAACATTTTTTAACAAAATAAAAATTTATTTTTGTATTTAAGCTAAATTGCCTTTTAAATTCCTTCAAGCTTGGTTCATTGAGGTGGTTAAGTATAAAAGCTGTTGACTAGGAACTAGCTATCTAGTTAAATTATGCCTGTGGGAAGAGGCTCATGGGTCCCAGGCAGCTTTCCTAAGGGACTAGGGCTTCCTCCTGGACACATTATGTACAGTGTCATTCTTTCCTTCATAAATAATGTGATGTGGACATAACTAGGTTGCCCCTTTGTGACTGAGGTCGAGTGTTTGTGGCAGGGGACTGCTCCTCCACCCCCAGGAAGAGCTCTCAAGTCCAGTATGTGTGTGTGGACCTGAGGCGGGAGCCTGAACCTCAAGTCCCAAGCACCTGTTAGGATCGGAGGGGTGGGGCGGGGCACGGGGGTAGTAATCAAGCTCCTTCCTAGACCTTATGTCAGGTAGAGCCTCTTAGTTTTAGTGCTCTAGTGTTACCTCAGTCCCATAGGCAGGACAGTTGGTCCAGGAACCCCGTGGAGAGGGTACCCTGGTCTGGCCTGAGTGTGTGTGGAAGTATGTATGTGTCCATGTCCGTGCACTGGGAGGCTGGGACTTTCCATCACAAATAAAGACTTAATTGCTGTTGAGTCGAGTTGGAACTTTGAGTATGAATGTGCAATTTCTCTCCTTGCTTCCATCATTAAGAATAAAAAAAACTGTGACCTAGCATAGCCCATGTTCTGCCTTTTATTCTTGTGGGCAGCAGTCTCCTCTCACCAGCAGGGACTCAACTAGGAAATCCATTCCATCACATGGATACCAGTTCCCTTCCAGTGGCAATAAACAATCTTCCCAGAAGAGCTGTTTCCTGGGCTGAAGTGAGACCCTTGAGCCCCTTGCTATGTGCGAGGCGGTGGGCTAGCACCAGCCGCTGGTTTTCGCCGCCGCTTCTTTCTCTTTCGGGTTGAGCTGGGTGTGAGTTCTGGCCCCAGTGTTTCAGTCTGAGGCACTGAGCTAGAAGAAAAAGTACAGACGTTAGATGGGCCCCAGACCTCTAGTGTCTACAGAGTAGGACCTCCTCCTCGCTCACCTTGACACTTCCACCCGTTCAAGAACAGCGATGAAGAAGCCACCCGTGAGCGTGGTCTCGGGGGAGGCCCGGAGGCAGTGTTCAGCACCTGGAAAGGTGCCAAGCCCTCGATGGGGCCAGGAGGGTAGGACAGGCACTAACCTGGGGAGAAGAAACAATGCAGGCTTCTGGGTAAAAGAGCGGCTTCTCCTCCCAACGCCCTGGTGGACACCCATTACCTGAAAGTCCCTGGGCTCTTCTGTAGAGCACCTTGAACCACGTCTTCGTTCTCCTCCTGGCAAAGGGAACATGTGGAGTAGACAAGACGCTGCAAGGAGGGGAAAGTGAGCGCATGGCACAGAGCTCGCTGCTGGAACCCTGCCAGGGCATGCAAGCGCTCCTTGCTGGGTGTGCCTGCCCCGGGCTCCTCCAACTGTCGGGACAACATACCTAAGAGAGAGCATCTCAATTATACGGCTTCACAGGTTGCCTTATTACATGTGGGTATCTCTATAGATGAGAAGGTTTGCCTAAGGTCACCAGTAAACCGAAGACTAAAACAAAGTAGTACCCTCAGCACCAGCCTTGTCTGGATCTGAGTCCCTCGCCAGCCCCCTCCTCCTCCCCGTCTCACCAGAGCCACTGCAGGAAGGATCCAGCAGGATGTACTGGACCTGACTGTAACGCGGGTCTGAGGGCGAGACTGCCAGGAAGTCTTTCTCGGCTAGCTCGCAGCAAGAGACTCCAGCCCGAGCCAGGAGCGTAGCCATAGACGCCAGCCGCTTGGCATCCAGGTCAAAGGCAAAGATCTTCCTAGGGAAGAGGTCAGAGTCGAGGTGAGCTAAGTTACAGTGCACCTGAGGGCCACGGCTCAGGGAGCAGTAGATGACTATGCCCTTGGAGGAGAACAACAGCTGACCCACGGGCAGTCACAGCAGCACACGTGCCCTCAGCAGGCTTACCCACTGCTCTGGGCTACATGCAATGATGTGCACGGGCAGGACACACGGAAGATCACAGTTAAGTGGCCTACGAGGTCCAGTGTCAGAGGTGACTGGCTGGGGACACTGCCATGGGTTAAGGGATTCTGTCACCTACTGGGAGGCTTAGCTCGAGACCGTACCACCAACTTCCCAGGCCAAAAGAGCATATTTAAAACAACAGCCTCCTTTCCACCTTTCTGACCTATTACAACAGACTAAGCCCCCGCTCCCTCCTCTGCCGCCTGCAGCACTGACCCTTGGTTCTTGAGAAGAGCCGCCAGGTGACTGGTCTTGTTGCCCGGGGCAGCACATGCGTCGAGGACATGGGAGCCTGGCGCCGGAGCCAGCAGCATGGCTGGGAGACAGCTGGCCTGGCCGGGCAGAGCACAACAGCTCGGTGAGCCCAGGCCCATCACTCCCACCTGCCCTACCGTTCCTGCCTCTCCACTTCCCTACCTTATCTTGTAGGATGAGGTGGCCAGCTTGGTACAGGGGATGTTCGTGCAGATCCGTGTGGGCAGGGAACACAAGCAGCTCCGGCAACAAGGGATCCAGAAGAAAATGCTTCCCCTTGAGGGTCCTTAAGTCCTCCAGGCTGCCATGGAAGAGGTTCAACCAGGGAAGGAGAAGCATTAAGCCGCTATGTTATGAATTCCTCCATGCTAGACTAGGCTAGACACTGCACCTGCTGCCCCACTGTCGCTGATACAACAAATCCTGAAACTGCTTTGAAAAAATGAACAGTGGCAAGACAGAGGGAGCTCAGTCAGTCAGGAGCAAGGGTTCTCAAGCCAGACAGGCTAGGTTCAGGAGCCCACCTCTGCTGTTTACTAGCAGGGGGAGCTTGGCTTGCTTACTTCGGTAAGTGGCTTAATCTCTAAAGCCTCAGTCTACACTTCTGTAAAATGACAGTTGTGAGGATTAAATGAGTTGACACGGGCCAAACACTTAGAACACTACCTGGCACACGTAAGCACTCAACAACTGGAGCACAACCCTGGGAGATTCCATGGAGAAGGCGAGTTGGGGAGAGGTAAGATCTGAGCTGACTCCTGAAGGATACGGAGTCACGTGACCAGGAAGGCCGGGATGAACGTTCACTCTGAGTCTGCAAGGCACCACTGTCCACTCACCCTGGCTGATGCACAAATAGCCTCAGACAGCTATCGTGCCAGAGTGGGAATTCTTACCCAAAGTCCCTCTCTACCAAACCACCCTTGTGACCAACCAAGGTATTAAAAGGCAGGAAGAAGAAGGTTTAACACAGACTGGAGCAGGGAGAAAGGAGCCCTATGGCCCAGGGTTAAGTGCTTGGCTGCTAACCAGAAGCTTGGTTAGAAACCAGAAGCTGCTTAGAAAAAGATGTGGCAGTCTGCTCTGGAAGGATGACAGCCTTGGAAACCTTGTGGGGGCGGTTCTACTGTCCTGTAGGGTCGCTATGCATCACCATCGACTCGAGAACAGTGGGTTTTGGCTGGAGGAAAGGGGAGAACAAAGGCAACTTCTCAGAGCTGCCAAAGATAAAACAGGAGGCAGGTGTGAGTGAGTCCAGTGAAGGGGTGGAGGAGCGTCTTGAGTGGAGAGCAGCAGCTGGTGCCACGTGGTGCCACACGTGGTGCCACGGCAGACAGGCCTGGCGAGGAAGCGGAGGCGTAGCACAAAGGAGAGCCAAGGAAGGGTCACGGCTGGGGAGGAACAGCACCAGCAAACGAAGGAAGAGCGTCTGCAAGCAGGGAGACCAACTCAGAAGATTCTTGCAGCCATCCTGATAGGATACAATGAGGGCCCCAGCCAGACAATGCCCAAGATGGAAAGGAAGGTGCGGATTTGAGAAAGATGCTAAACGCAGCCCCGTCAACAACTGGAGGGGAAAGGGGAAAGCACCCAGAATGACTCAGGTCTGGCTTGGGCGACTGGGCGAGGAAGAGTGATAGCCATTAGGTCAAAAAGGGGATTGCAGGTGGTGCAGTTTGAGAAGGTGATGAATTCAATTGGACATATGCTATGACTGTGTTTCATGGAACTTGAGGTAGGAATACAAGAGAGAATACAAGAGGTGTTTCATGGACCTGAGGTAGGAATACAAGAAAGAAGTAGCCCGAGAGTCGGAAACTCTCAGGTTGAGAGGTAGAAGTTAGAACTATGAGAAAGAACTGAGGGATACAAGAGAAGAATGTAAACTGGGACTCCCAGGAATCAATGTTTAAAAGATAGGAGGAAAACAAGGCTCAGGAGATGGAAAAAACACCGGAAAAGTAGGAAGAAAACCTACAGGGTGCAGCCACAGCCAGCCAGCCAGCCTCTCTCCCCCGTGGATCCATTCCCAGTACCCCCAGGCACCTCCCTAGAGAAGGGCAGTGTGGGCAAATCCTAAGCCCTCACCTGGATGCCCGCCCCTGGTAGGAGAACCCCTGTCTCTTGAAATAATCAATTGCATCATCAGAGCAGGTCTTGAGGGTGTTCACCCGCACAAACCGAGGTATCTGGGGGGCTAGAAAGCAATCAACAGTGAGTGAGCAGGACCGCAGCCCTCCCCTCAGAAGGTCTCCATGGCTACCCTGCCCGAGGACTCCTTCCACCTCACCTGGACCAGGTGTGGAGCCCACTTCCAACAGATCCTCATTCCGGCTCACACCCCGCTGAACCTTGAGCCTGGCCAACTCGGCCTTCAGCCTGGCCTGGTGTCGGGCCAGCAGAGCCTTCCATCGGCCCCCACCCCCTCGAAAGCCCCGTCCCAGCAGCAACTCATACACTAGCACCTGGGGGTGGAAACACGGGGAGGGGGGTAAAAAAAAAAAAAAAAACAACTAAGCATTAAAGCCTTGGAACTAAGGAAGTACCTTACCAAAGACCACCCAAGAAATTAACGGCAGATCCAGGACTGGAATCCGGTGACCTTGCCTCCCAGCCCGGGCTCTTTCTCCGTGGTTGCTCACCAGCAGAGCTGTGGACCCCCCAACTCCTGTGTCATTATTAGCGTTCTGTTTACTTGACAGTTCTACGGGAGCTCTGGTAGCGTAGTGGCTAAGGCACTTGACTGCTAACCAGAAGGCTGGCGGTTCAAACCCACCAGCCACTCCTCAGAAGGAAGATGGGCCAATCTACTTCCGTAGTGATACTGCCTCGGAAACCCAAGGAAGGGTCGTTATGAGTTGGGTCTGACTCAATGGCACGTAACAACAACAACATGCTATTGCTACTTCGGTTCTTTAAGTAAACACAAGGCCGGAAGTTAACAGCATTTTTATCCCACTTCAGTCCGTAACCCAATGAGCAACTGACAGCTCTCACTACTCATTTCCGAGCAGCGACTTGCTAAACCCAGAACAGCAGCAGAGCGAGGCCGAGCTTACAGACGCCTCCCTCTCCAGGCTCCCGTCTGCGCTGCAGCAGGGACTCCCGGCCCGCCCGTCACCTTGGCTACGTGCGGCCGCAGCCCGCCCGTCACCTTGGCCATGTGCGGCCGCAGCTTCTTCTCGGCGCGGAGGAGCCCGGCGCTGGCGATCACGGCGTCCAGCACGGCGGCGTAGCGCTGCGTCTCGCACACCAGCGCGTACAGCTGCTTCACATTCTGCGCGCGGCCGAAAGCAAACTGCTGTGCCGGGGCCCGCGACCGCGGCAGCCGCCGCCACCTTGTCCTCCACCTCCCGCCCGGGCATGACCCTGACCCCGCCACCCGCCTCGGGATCCTAGTGCCACCCTCCCTGCTACCTGGAAGCGGCTGCCGTAGACTAGTCCCTTGATGGAGCCCTGGCGGCTCTCCACACCGGCCAACACGGCCGCCGCGGCCCCGTACAGCGCCATGCTCGGCCGCGTGTCTTTACGACCCTGTCGCAAAACTCGCCCGGCAAGACTTCCTGGGTCAAAGGGCACGAGTGTATTGGGACCTCGGATGCCGGGGCGTCAACCCCAGTTGCCCGAAAGGGGTGATTCCTTTCTCGCCAGGGTAAACCAAAACCAAACTCGCTGGGATCTAGTCGAGTGTGACTCATACCGACCCCGGTTTGAGTTTCTGAGGCGGTAACTCTTTAGGGAGGTACATTGCCCAGACTTCCTTCCCCTGGGTGGCTGGTGGGTTTGAACTGCCAACCTTCTGGTTAGCATCCTTAGACATGCTAATGTCTGGTTAGTAATGCTTTAGACGCTGCGCCACCAGAGGATTTTATTGCTAAGATGATTGTGTTTTGGGTGAAGGTTTACACAATAGTTTAGACTCCCTTAAAAAATTTCTCCAAAAGTTAATCTCAGTGACATTGGTTACATTCACAATGCGTGAACTTTCTCATTTCTGTTCCGGTGGTTCCGTCCCGGTTAATCTAGTTTTCCTGCCCCCTCACATCCTCATCTTTGTTATACCAAAGAGCAAACTGAGTCTGTCAATACTAAAGCAAAAAGATTTTTTGAAGAAACGGAGTGGTATGGATGTGCTTTCATGATTAGGTTGGGCTATGGGTTTTGGAAAAGGCACTCTAGTGGTGTAGTGGCTAAGGCATTTGGTTGCTAACCAGAAGGTCAATGGTTCAAACACAGCAGGCTCTCTTTGGAAGAACGATGAGGCAGTTTGCTTCTGTAAAGATTAACAGCCTTGGAAACCCAGTGGGGTTGCTATGAGTCAGAACCAACTCGATGGCAGTGAGTGTGAGTTACTGGTTTTGGAAGGATGAGCACAGAGGGAAAGTCCTAGTCCCATCAGATCATATCAACGCACATGATATCAACAGGATTTATTGCTGTAACAGCACATAATATCAACAGGACTTGTCGCTGTTAACCTGGACCACCTGGCTGAGGTAGGCTTTGTCAGGTTTTCCACTATAAAGTTTCTCTTTTCCCCCTCTTTCCACCAGTACCGCTTGGAAGAAGTCACTGAGCCCAGCCCACACTTAGCAAGTGGGGAGTCAGGCACCACCTCTTTGCAGCAGAGTATCTACATAAATTATGGGGACTTCTTCTGCGTGGGAGATTTGTTTTCTTCCCTCCATTTATTTACTTATTCAATCATTTGTTTACATCAATAGGAACTCAGGGATGTTTATTTTATACTTTGGGTTATGATCCAACACAGTTTCATTTCCTCAGTGTCTCCCAGCTTTGGCCATTGGGAGCTCTTTCATTTAGCTCCTCAGACCCTCATCATTGTGGGGTGGTCTGTTTGTTTCTGAGCACTTCTTTACTCTCTGGTACTGCAAGATACCCCAGGCTCATCTTGATATTTCCTGTCCTGAAATGTTTTCAACCATTTCTCCTGGTTCCTTTTATAGAAGAATGGTGTTGGAAATGAAGATCTGGGTGCCAGGTGACCTGTTTCTTTGACCCTTCTTTAATGTCTCCATTAGAAAACTTAAAATTATGTGTGTGACTCACATAAAATTTCTGTTGGACAGCTGTTTTAGAGTCTCCTCTCTCCTAAAAAATACCTTCCCTCAACCCCACTCTCTCTCAAACTCCTGACCCATTTCTCTCCTTCCCTTAACCATCAGACTTTTTAAAAGAGAATCAGCAACAATGGCCTTGACTTATTCATCACATGCTATTATTATTTTCATTCCCTGCATCCTGTCTTCCACCCCACTCCACTGCAGTGACTCCCAGCAAGAATTCCCTACTGTTCCAATAAAGTCTCTTCCACTCCACCGGTGGTTGCATAGTGCTGTGGTGCACACCCTCCATGTTATAAAGCTCCCCCCTTTGGCCTCCACACCCCTACTGCTGGATGCTGCACCCTCCTGTTCCTCTGACCAATTCTCCGTCTCCTAGGCTGCCTGGTCCAGCCTGCTTCCTACACTCAGGTGTCCCAACCTCTGACCTGCTTTCTGTCGGTCTTACATTTTCTTCCTGGGCAGTCTCATCCACTCCCACACTGTCATTACTACGAGAGAATAAAGTTCATATGCCCTAAAGTAGCATCGATAGCCCTCCCTGGTCCAGCCACACGCAGCCCAATTGCAGCATGTCTTATGGACCTAGACCCCAAAAGGCTCTTCTCCTCTGCCAATGCTCTGCTTCCTTCAGCTTAAATGCCAACCCCTCCATCAAGAATTGCTTGCTCTAGAAAAATAAAGAAAACCAAAGATTCATGGAAAGAATTAGTCCTAGTGACTGGTACACCATGCGATCTGCAGGCTATACGACTATGAGACCAGAAGAACTAGATGGTGCCCGGCTACCAATGTCAACCACTCAGAGGGGGATCTATGTAGGAGACCCTGGATAGAGAGGGAAAACAATGTGAAACAAAATTCAGAAGCATTTGGGAAAAAAAAAAAGGTGGGGGGCGGGGGAAGACCAGGTTTGCTGGTCTGATAGAGCCTGGTGGAACCACTGAGACTATGGCCCCTAGCTGCCCATCAGGTCTGGAAGTGAACCCACACCTGTGGCTTCCAGCCAAGCAAAAGACAGGCATAGGAGTTGAACATTTACCTCACATTTACATTTACATTACACTCCTTGGAGAGAACAATCATGGGAGAAAGAAGGGCTGTTTAGACACAGGAAGACAGCTCAGGGGGCAGGAGTGCATGGAGGGATGGACACAGGGAACAGGTAACTGGGGAGGAAGTGGGAGGGGAGCTGTTGCATTGGGGTAAATTGTAGTCAGTGTCATGAGACAAAGTGTATGTGAACTGCTGTATGGAAAGTGAATTTGTTCTGTAAATTTTCACCCAAATAAAAAAAAAAAAAAATTACTTGCTCTCTCCTCCTCCCTCTCCATCCTAAATGTAAGTCAGTGAACAGCTTTTGGCTGTAAGCCACAGACACTAACTCTGCCTCACCCAAAGGGGGGATGTATTCCGTGAGTGCAGAGGTACATTAACGTATCTGTCAGAGTCTGGCTGGGAACAGAAAGGTGCACTCAAACAGAAATTGAGACATTAAAGAAAGGACTATTTATAAAAGTGGTCAAAGTCAAGGAAACCTTCAAGAGATGATACAGTACTCAGGCCAGCAGCAGCACCATTACCATCCCGAGACCTGAAGGAATGAGGGAAAGGTCACATGAAGACATGGCCACCAGACAGGAGTCTTGGGTAGAGGGCAGCTGCCAGCCCATAGCCCAGAAGGAGGGAACCAGAACAGTATGTACCTCAAACTCCTCCTCCTGCCCTTGGATCTGCTGCTAGTACCTCCCATTGGCTGAACCCAACAGACGCCAGAGGGTTTACACTGCACAGGGGTCAGCCTCCCAGGACAAAGAGCAGGGTGGGGAAGGTGGGGAGTGGATACAGAGAAGCAACACTCCTCAGCTCCATCGTGAAATTGAGAGAGCTGAATGGCTACACAGTGGGTCTGGAAGGCGTGACGCGCACAGCAGGCAGACCAAGGCCAAGGCCACGTCGATCCGGCTGGTAAAGACAACGAGCCCTCTTCAATTCAGTTTATTGTTTACACAGACCGTGAAAGGAAGAGTAGCCAGAGGTTCCAGTCCCTTCTGGTCCTTCTCCCACACACCAAAAGGGACGAAACCAAAGGCAAAGGCACGGATGACTGCACTGTGAGTTGCAGGGTGTCCCATTGCTGAGGAACTAGTTCTAGACCGCACCGCAGCTAAGCAGTTTCATAGTCTGCAACTCTGTTCCCGGGGAGTGGGCCAGAAGGCCTCACATCTCATCAGAATCCTGGCAGCAAGGACAAAGCCTCTTGTGATGACCTGCCAGCAGGACAAGGAGGTGAGCGGAAGACGACCTTGAAGCAGCACCTCAAACGCCCTGGAGGTTCACAAGATGGTCTGCTGATTCTCATGTGTCAGCACGTGTCCAGGATGGCAATAAGCTTCATTGCCCACGTGGCCCATGAGGGCATGTGCAAGGGTGCTGAGGTGAAGCTGTCCCCTGCAGGTGGCTCTCAGGCAGCTCCACAGACCTCAGTGGCAGGAGGCTGTGGCTCTCTGCAGCACCATGCCTCAGGTGACTCAGCTCAGCCTTCCCTCCAATCTCCAGATCCCTTGGAAAGAATTCAGTTGTCCCCATATTGGTCTGAAGTGAGCTCCTGCCCCGTCAGCTGTGGCCAGGGGCAGGATCTCCATAAGCGAACGTGGCCTCTGGGCTCACTCCCAGGCGTCCAGGAGCTCTCAGAAATGGGAAGTACGCCCTGTGTGGCCCCCACTCACTTTGCTCCGAAATGGTGCCATTTCTGGGTCGGTCTGCCTCATCTGAGAGGGACATCGAGAGAGGTCTTTGGGGACAGAGCATTCTCCTCATCTCCCCACCAGATACTGGGCTGACTGACTAAGTGGTCAGCGTGAGACCAGCTGCGCAGGGGTGGTCCCCAGAGGTGGTGGTGGTTGTTATGTGCCGTCGAGTCGGACGCGACTCATAGCGACCCCTCCTTGGGTTTCCGAGGCAGTATCACTACGGAAGTAGATTGCCC